GTCGTATTTTATAAAATCCTAATGTATTATATACGAACGTACGTATTTACGTATTATACATTTGCCGTATATTACTAACTATCTCCTACTTCTTCCATACATGAGTATTTGTCTTTATTTGACTTTTTTCAGTCAAAATTAGTTAATTTTGACATCAACTTAAATAAAAATGATACTCCATATTAGATATTGCTAGAAGAATAGATTTATTAATTTTATTATATCAAATATTTCTAAAATATTATTTTATCTAATTAATATACAACATATATTTTTTTATAGATCAAAGATTGAAAACAGTTGACTGAAAAAAGTCAAAACTAGATAAATATTAAGGGACAGAAGTAGTAAGTCACATACTCACAAAAGCCTATGTTATACGAGTGCCTGGGCGGATGCATGTGCAAACAAATAATTATATGGATAATTATATGGAGTGTGTATATAATATAAAAAAACCTGAAGAAATGTTATTATACAGTGTCATTATAATTAAGAGCCGACCCAAAAATGTAAAATAAAGAGGTTGGTCTTACAAAAAATTTACGTGTTTGGCCCTATTTTATTTTTTTTGCATAGTACTTGTTTTTTAAGTTATGGTAAATATGATTTATAACAGCCACTTTTATAAAAAATTGAATATTAAAATATAAATTTCTATTAAATATAAAAATATCAAGTAATTAAAATATTAAACATCTAACAATATTAGACCCTAAAAGCTTGGGAGTCATGTACGTGTGCACACCTTGCACACCCTCCGGATCGACTGCTCATGGTCATAATGTCACAGTAAAAACTCTTATTCTGGAGATAAAAATATGAAAATACTATTTTGAGGATAGATAAAGACTACGGACTATATTTTACTCATATTTGGATGAATACTTTAGGAAACCCTTCTTGTATTGATTTTTATACTATGTTTAATTTGGTTCAAGGATTTTGGAAAGAAAAGAAAAGAAAATAATATTCTCTCACTTTCTTCATCAAAATGGAAGGAATATAATTTCACCTTTCCTACTCTTAGTACATTTTGACTTCTAATTTTCTTTTACTCCTGCTTTCTTTTTTCTCTCTCTAACCAAACTATAAGAACTATTTTCAATCTCATTTTTTTTCTTTTTTTTTTCTAAATTTATTGAACCAAATATAGTGTTAAAAAATTTAAGGATAATATATATTGATGTTGACTTTCTAAAAATATTTTTGGATGTGGTCGATTGGTAATAAAAATAAGATGTGATGTTAAATTTAATAGTAAATATATATGATGTGATCAATAATTAACACTCCTTAATTATTAATAGAGGTAATATAAGTAAGAATATGTGAGTGCTACGTATTTTTTAATAGAAAGTGAAAACGTTTTTTACAAGAAAGGAAAAGTGAAAGAGCTTGAGAAAAGGTGAGAAGCACAGAGTATATGCTACTCCTTCCGTCCCTATTTCGATTACAAAATCATAATTACGATGTAAAATCTCACGTTTTTTGAATCATTTTAACTACAAATTGGTACATCAATAAAAAATAAAAATTACATATTAAAAAACTATGTCCAAAGTTTTACAAAACAAGAGGTGACACACATATTTTATTTTACTCCATCCGTCCCCCTGTATTTGTCCACATTTGACTTTTGGAACTGTCCATCTAAGCACTTTGACTTATCAAATTCTCTCAATGTGTAAGCCTAAATATAGTCATGTGTGATCTTGTTTGATTTGTCTTAACATATAGATTATTAATATATAATTTTTATAATTTTTTAATATATAAATTACAAGATAAAATGGATTAAAGAAGTGCATTGGATGGTGTGTAAAAATAAAAATGGACAAATACATGGGGACGGATGGAGTATTAATTAATCAATGAAAATAAACAAATAAACAAAAGTTATCAAGAGAGTCCAGCCATGCCCCTAAAATCAATTTATTGGTGCAAATTTTTTTGGTTATCTTGTCTTGCGCCCTCTTCCCAATTGCTGCGTTCTTTGACTTCTTTCTCATTCTTTTTTGCACCAATTCCTTGTGGTCTTCAATTCCGTTTAGTACTCCTTACTTTTTTTTCAGTTTTTTTTAGTTTTTTTATAAAAATTTTTCAGTTTTTGTATTCTTTGGTTTTAATTTTTTTCTCAGTTTTTTATTTTTAAAATTTCAGGTTTTAAGTATTTAGTTCTAGTGTTTTTAAGTCTCGTACTATTTAATTGTATTTTATACTTTTAGTTTGAGGTAAATTTTCATTATTTTTATGTTTTTAGTTTAATTATTTAAATTAAAATAATTGTTAAAATAATACTACCTCCGTCCCAAAAAGATTTACACGTTTTGACTAAAGTTCAAATTAAGGGATGAATAATTTTGTGTTGACTTTCCAAAAATACCCTTGATGTGATGGGTAAAAGTAGGATGTGATGTGTAGATTATAAAGAAAAAAGATATGATTTGATAGGTATGGTTAGAAAAAGTAAGAGGTAAAAGTGGTTTTTCAATTAAAATGGGTAAGAGATTGTGGGACGCAATTTTTTGAAAGGTATAAATCTTTTTGGGACGGAAGGAATATTAAAAATTGAAGAGGAATGAGAGAGGGCATTTTCTTAGAAGTAAAACTCTTGCTGACGTGGCGCTGAACTGGCTAAGTGGAAAAGGGGAAAGGGATGTTGGATCATGTCTGCTAATAAGTGATGACTTGGTAGTGGAGATGTAGGGAATTTGTGGACAAACTATCAATATTTATTAACTTTCTCTTTTAAAAGTCATCTTTAGGCCACTTTCTAGTCTAGAAAAACTGACTAAAAAAATAATACTCCATCCGTCCCTAAACAAACTTCCATTTCTGACTTTTTGATTATTTAAGGGAGGGATATTTTAGTGTTGACTTTCCAAAATATCCTTGATGTGATGTGTAAAAATAAGATGTGATATGTAGATTATTAGTAAAAAGGTATGATGTGATAAGTAGGGTATGAAAAAGTAAAGGGTAAAAGAGGTTTTTTAAGGGAAAAAAGAAGTTTATTTGGGAACAAAGAAAAAATGAAAGAGAAAGTTTATTTAGGGACGGAGAGAGTATGAACTTTATTAAAAGTTTTCGAAGGAAAAAGAACTACGTGAGTGGCTGTTTTTAAACAACTATCGAACAAAAAAATTTCAAATAAAACATAAATTACAATGGAATAAGTCTTTCTGTTCACATTTATTTTTTTTTTCTGGGAAACATTAATTATTAAAGAGTCAAACGTAGCCTTTGGCATCTTATGAAACAAAGGGTGAATATGCCTCATGCCCCATCACGAGTTGAAAGGTTAAAGCATGTGTAAACGGGACACACACACACACACACACACACACACACACAAAAAGATATTATTCATATAAAAATAAATGCAATAATTGTTTTTCTCTTTTTACCATGTTAAAAATTAAATCTTTAATATGTTAAATTACTCTTAGCTTTCATACAATTCATGAAAACTAATAATATAGAAGTTTTTAAAGAGATACAATAAGATGCATGGTTAAATCAGAGGGCGTCAATCATGTTACGGAGTATATTTTCATCAATAAGCCAATTTTTAAAATTTTAATATATTTATTTTTATCATTTATTTAACTAAAAATATTTAAATGAATATGTGTATATATTAATAGAAATCTATTACGCATTATCAATAAAAAAATAATTTTTTGAGTAATTCTCAAAATGATCCTTTGTAATAAAGTGTTTTTCCAAATCAGTGCTCAATAAATTTTAATTACCTACGTGGTCTTCTATAATTGAAATTTATTTTCAAGATAGTCTTTTGTAAATAATATTACTCAATTGGTGATTAATTGGGGGGGGGGTGGTATTTTGGTACTTTTTATCCGCTAAATTTAGAATAAGTTATGAAAATGATCATTTATAATGAAGTGCTTTCCCAAAATGGTTTTTTCTAATTAAAGATGTGTACTTGATTCGAAATTTAAAAGATCTTTTATAAGTTTATAATAATTCATGAATTATTTATGGATAATGTATTTTTTTTAACTTTACATTTAGTTGTACTGAAATGATCGTTTCGAGAATATACTTTAAATTTAGATGATAAAAATTAGGGGTGGGCAAAAAAACCGAATTAGCATGGTACCGAACTAAACCGTAATGGTACCGTACCGTTTCGTCTATTTTGAAACGGGATTTGTTTTTTCATCACGGACTAGGGGTGGACACGGTACCGGTACAGTACCGGTACCGGAAACGGTACCGCCGGTTCCGGTACCGTTACCGTCGGCCGGTACGGTCCACCGGTTCCGGGAACCGGTACCGGTACCGCCCAATCCGGTACCGGTTCCGGTGCCCATTTTTCGGTACCGGCACCGGCGGTTCCGGTTCCGGTACCGTTACCGTTTTTTTTTATTTTTATTTTTTTTATTTCATTCTTTCCTTTATCAATTTCATTTTTAGATTTTTTTATTTCATCATTTCCTTTAACAATTACACATTTACAATTTTACATTTTAAAAATATAATAAAAAAGCAAAAAAAAAAACAAAATTAGGGGTGGCCGAAAAAGTACCGGAAACGGTACCGGCCGGTCCGGTACCGGTACCGGTACCAAGGGGTGGCGGTACCGGAACCGGCGGTTCCGGAACCGGAACCGTCCCGGAACCGTACGTGTCCACCCCTATCACGGACCGATCACGAACCGCTCTCAAATAGGACGGGACCGTGATACAAAAATTAAATACCGGTAATCCCGGACCGTTTAAAATTTCATATATTTTGTAAAAATTATATTGGGCTATTAAAGATATTAGGTATTTAATATCACTAATTTAAAATTTAAGTAGTTATATTAATTCATTTATTTTCTAGACTAAAGACATTAGAGCCAAAACCCCTAAATAGCCCATATTGATATTCATTCTGGGCTTACTGCACTACGGAGTAAAAATAAATTTACTCCCAAATTTGGGAGTTAGCCTAAAAAATTAAAATAGGGCAAAATTGCATAAATCAAGCACTCAAGTCTCAAATAGGGCAGAAAATCAGAAACCAAAAGGCACAATTAAAGCTTCTTATTCAGTTCGAAGGGGCTATCCATCGCACTAAGTATCCAGAGACCAGAAATCGAAGAGGCTCCTTCTTCGATCCATCGCGCTATCCAAATATCCAGAGACCAGAAATCGAAGGCAGCGATTGAAGCTCCTTCTTCAGTTCTTCTCCGACCCCTAATATATCTTCTGGTGTTTTTTTCTATCAATTTCTACAAAGGACCAGCAAAAACACATGGTGAGTTTGTTTTGAGTTTTTATTTTACAATGATTTAGCATATATGGAGTATGAATTTAACTTTTGTTAATGAGTTTTAGTTTGCTTGTTTTTTGTTTTGTTAATCAGTGAAAAGAGAGCTAGAATATTAGATTTCTCAACTTTTGTTTTCGATGTCACCTCTTTTTAGGAAAATTTCACGCTGGAAGAAAGAACAGTATCACCCCAGGTGGATTGTGATGTTGCAGCTACCCCAATTGTCTCCTCAAATCTACCAACTGGTCCTGATATTGTGCATGTACAACCTCCAGGTGTGAATCGTGTTTTTAGGTCAGATGTTTGGGATCATTTTTTCCCATATTGGATTAGAAACAAAAAGTATGAGAAAGACATGGAAACTCAAAAGCTTGTGGAGGTCATTACATGGAAAATGAGAGCTAAATGTAAGTATTGTCCAAAGCATCTTGGGGATTATGCTTGTGATAGTGGGCCTAATGGAACTGGAGGGCCAAGAAAACATATTTACAAAAACCAATGCAAGTATTATGCCGGGAATCTGAATTTGAAAAAACAGAAGGTGCTAGCTCCTGGTGATTTCAATCAATTGACAACAAGAGCTTTTAATCAAAAAGAAACTTTAGAGGCTTGTGTTGAAATGGTAGTTCTTGATGAACTACCATTTAATTTTGTTGAAAAGCAAGGTTTTAAGAGATTTTGTAGTATAGGGATGCCGTTGTTTAAGGTTCCTTCAAGGAGAACACTGGTAAGGACTTTCCTTGATATGTATGGGGACAGAAAGTTGAAATTGAAAGATGAGTTGAAGAATAAGAGGGTTTGTCTCACCACAGATACATGGACCTCTGTTCAAAACTATAATTACATGGTCCTGACAGCCCATTTTATAGATAATGATTGGAAAATGCACAAAAGAGTGTTAAACTTTTGTGTCATTACAAATCATCAAGGAATAACCATAGCAAATCTCATTGAACAATGCCTAAGTGATTGGGGGATTGAAAAGGTATTGACAATCACAGTGGACAATGCTTCTGCCAATCAAACAGCCATAGATCTCTTAAGATCCAAGCTGAATTTGTTCGAAAAAAGTCAAGTTGTTTTGGATGGAGAACACATGCACATGCGTTGTGTTGCCCATATAACAAACTTAATTGTGGGAAGCGGATTGAAAAAGTTGAATTCAAGTATCTTAGCGATTAGAAATGCAGTCAAGTTTGTTAGAAGTTCTCCACAGATATTTGAGGTGTTCAAAAAAGCTATTGGGAGGGAGAAACTTCCGTTCAAAGGGATGGTGTGTTTAGACATGCCAACAAGATGGAACTCAACCTTTGCAAAGTTGGAATCCGCACTGCGATTAAAACGAGCTTTCAAGCGGATGGAACAGGATACAACGAGTTCATATCTAGCATATTTCAATGAATCTGAAGAGGAATTTGATGAAGATGGAAATGTGATTGTGGCAAAGAAAGGGAATAAGAAAGTTGGGCCGCCTCTAGACAAAGATTGGGATAACTGCGAGGTCTTTGTGAATTTTCTTAGAGTCTTTTATGAGGTGACTCTTAGAGTTAGTGCTTCTCTAAAGCCAGTGGTTCACACTACACTGCATGACATAATTGCAATTGAGCAAGTTATGGCTAATATGTTAAATGTACCTATTGAAAGTGCAAGTGATACTGATTTATTGATGGTAGAAGTGGGCTTAGCAATGAAGTCTAAGTACAACAAGTACTTTGGTGAGTTTAAAAATCTAAACCCATTAATCATTTTAGGGCTTGTCTTGGATCCAAGGTTCAAGCTAAAACATATAACTCATATCTTGACTGTTGTGATGGGCTGGAAAACATATGAAGTGGAAGCTAAGACTACTCAAATCAAGACACTTCTCTTTTCCATGTACGAAGCGTATGAAGAAGAAGTTCAAGGCAAGAACCACTTGAAGAGAAAGAGATTAGATGAAAACACCAATGATCTTGTGAAAAGACAAAAGGCTTCATATAAAGTTGGGAGTAGCACAAGTAAGAATATTTTTGTAGTGGATTGGACTAAATATGTTGAACAAACAGATGAATCTATCATAACTCATGAGGTTGATAGGTATTTAAATGATCCATTGGAAGGTATTGGAAAGAACAAAAATAAGGAAGAGATTAATGATGAGGATAGTGGACTCAATGATGAAGCAGTAGAAAAGGATTATAGAGCATTTGATATTCTTCAATGGTGGAAGCTTGCATCTCATAAGTATCCAATTTTAGCATCCATATCGAGAGATGTATTTGCAATACAAGTTTCAACCGTAGCATCAGAGAGTGCATTTAGTACAGGGGGTAGAGTGATTGATGCATTTAGAAGTTCACTAACTCCTAGTTCTGTTGAAGCCCTCATATGTATGCAGAATTGGTTAAAGGGAGATGATATAACAACTCATTTTGACGTTGAACCGTGCATTGAAGAGTTAGAGTTTTATGAAGCAATTGAAACAGGTATAACTTTGATTCCAAAAGCATGATATAACTACCTTTTTCTTATTTGTATGTTTACTGTTTTCTACTTTGATTCCTTGGATGTTTACAGAATCAGCAAGTGGAAGGGAAACATACAGAGTCTAGCTGCCTACCATTTGCTACAGTGCCACTCAGTCAGTCACTCTCTTGTCATTTTGTTTTTTAGCAATTATATTTTAGGCTTTAGCATTTATTTTTTGAAGGTTTTGTTGTGCTAAAGCTAAATTATTAACTATGAATGACTGTTTTTGTTGGCAGTGAACAAGTGTGCCTATGAAATTTATTGAGATTGGCAGTAACTTATATTTTTTGGCTTTAGTATGAATATAAGAGCATCTCCAATGGAGAGTGTAAAAAATTAAAAGCTAAACATCAGTTTACCTCTTCCACAGTGTTTTAGCTTCCAATTTTTTTATCGCTACTCCAACCATGACATCTATATTATACATTATTATTATTTTTATTTCATTATATAAACTTTTATTTTATCAAAAATTAAAACTTTTATTTTGTCAAAAATTTCTTCTAGTTCTTCATTGCTCAAGATTTTGGAAATCATTTGAAGAAACAATGGCAAATATGCAGAAATCACATGACCGACAATGTGCAAAACAATTGCCAATGGATAGAAACTTTTTCAGCAAAAAAGAACAACAAAAAAAGCAAAAATAATGTCGGCAAGAACAGAATCAGAATAGAAATTGGGGAAAGGAATTAGCAGAAAAAATTTGCAATCCATAGTTGCAATTTCTGGTAAAGTATTGCTCAATCGAAGATGCCTCATACCTCTAGAAATTTTTTGCAGGAAATAGATGCACTTGATCCGATCTTTGTCTCCTAGGGTTGGCCTCCAAAAAGCATCAGGGAAGACAGCAAAGGGGATGAGCAGGGATGAAACATATGGAAAAAAGAAAATAAAATGAAATACACTATCTACAGTACTGTGTATTTATGAAAGACGAGAATAGAAAAATAGATTGCGATCTATTTTAAAGAAGATCCGTTGGAGACCGGATTTATGCACAGTACCAGCTATACCTTTCTTTTTATAAACTTTACTCAAATTTACATGATGCATTGGAGTTGCTCTAAGTTACCTATGGATTGACATTGAGCTTTTTAATTGTTTTCAAGTGTCCATGCCGATTTGAAATCACTACATTTTTTTAAATAAATTTGTGCGTTTTTATACATAATTATGCTTTTATTTTAATATTCTTTGAGTAATGCATGTTTAATATTTTGGCACGGTTTGAGCATGGGTATGGTAGTGTACCGTTCCGTTTTAAAACGGAATGGTACCGAATGGTTTTAGGATTCATCCCGTACCGGTACCGAACCGTTTCAATAATAGCGGTCCGTGATAGGTTCTGATAGTATCACGGACCGCGCCCACCCCTAATAAAAATACCAAAATACTCCCATTTAATCACAATTTGAGTAACATTATTTACGAAAGACTATTTAAAGAATAAATCTCATTTATAGAGAACCACATCGGTAGCTACAACTTATAGATGACTAAAGTGAGAAAACACATTATTACAAAGGACCATTTTGAGAATTTACTCTAATATTTTCTAATACCAGCGTGCCTTAGGGCATGGACCAATTTTCGGAGGGGTCCCAAATTCAATTTTTTGGTATATACTCCCTTTAGTCGTAAAAATCTTTCATGTTTTGACCTTTTAAAATTAAACAGTGACACTCTTTAACCATAAATTAAACATAATAAATAATATAAAAATTTGATATATCAAAACTATCTCCTAAGATGAAGCCAATTATATCAAATTTATATTATAATTAAATATAATTTTCTCATAATTTATGGTCATAATGTGTCACTGTTTGACTAAAAAATAAAACAGGAAAATTTTTTAGGAAGAGAAGCAGTATATTTTACTTCATTATGACACATGAATTCACTTTCTATGTGTCGTGTCGTAATCTTGATTCCTTGGTGATGGCCCTACTAATAGACAAATCCAAAAGTTGCTATTTTTTTGAGACTTTGTTTAATTTGTTAGACCGAGCAACAAATTGAGAAAGTCATTTACCAAACAATAATTTTAAATGTTTGATTAGTCAAAGAAATCAAAGTATGTAAGTAAAAACGTTTTCTAAACGCATCCTTTATGTCGCAAAATATGGGAGAGTAAAGAGTCTATTAGGAATATTAGATAATAAGAAATAAATATAATATTTATTTCCAATTATCTAACAATGACAAGTGCTCATTTACGATTATATAGTGTTTCCGGCACATCAATGACAAGTGCTCGTTTATGAGTACCTGAATGCTCATTTTGAGCAAGTGGATACTCATTCTCGACTAACTGAATACTCATTTTTCTAAAATTCAATTATGCTTAAAAATGAGCATTCAGTTATTCAAAAATAAAGATTTTTTTTATCTGAAAATGAGTACTTAACTACTCGAGAATGATTATTGATGGGAATGTATGATCACCTTGGTTCAAATGACATTGAGAACCAATGTCATGGGATGACCTGGGGGTGCTCCGGTGCCCCGTTCGTATAATTGACGGTTTCTACTCCCCTAACCTCCTCGGTAAACCCCTCCACCACGCCCCGACCCAAAACGCGGCCCCCCACCCCCTTCAATTGCACCCCCCAAGTTGATTTTGACTTTAGAGTCAAAATTTGACTTTGGAGTCAAAATTTGACTATAAAGTCAAAATCAACTTGGGGGTGCAATTGAAGGGGGTGGGGGGCCGCGTTCGGGTTGGAGCGTGGTGGAGGGGTTTACCGGGAAGTTAGAGGGATAGGAACCGTCAATTTTACGAACGGGGCACCGAAGAACCCCCGAGTCATCGTATGACATTGATTTTCAATGTCATTTGAACCGGCCTCATGTATGATATAGGCATGCACTCATTTAGATGGTCTCTTAATGAGATTTTCTTTTATCGAAAAAGGTCAAAGAGTATTTTAGTGGATTCTTTCGTGCCAATTACAAGTGAGTAACATTTGCAATAGGAATGTTTGAAAGTTTTCTTTAACCTCGTGGAAAGTTGTTCTAAATTAAATTTTACTCCACGGAATAATAATTACGACTCTATTTTTTTTAATAAATAGTGGAAAGTGCATTTTGGGCGCCCCTATAGGTTACTATCATTAATCTTTAGTTGAGAAATTCTTCATCACAAGTTGACAACAGCAACGACGCTTAGTTAGTTAATGCATACTAAGGATAATGTTGACTTGTTCATCCCACATCGGCTATGCAGCCTTATATTGTGCTGCTATTTAATAGTTTGGGTACCTCAACCTCTTGAGTTAACTTTTGAGGTTGAATTGGGCCCAAGTCTATTGTTTCAACATGGTATCAGAGCTAGGCCATTGATGTTGGGACCGCGCCCGCAGTAATCTGCGCCTCGTGTGAGGGAGGCGTGTTGACTTGTTCATCCCACATCGGCTATGCAGCCTTATATTGTGCTGCTATTTAATAGCTTGGGTACCTCAACCTCTTGAGTTAACTTTTGGGGTTGAATTGGGCCCAAGTCTATTGTTTCAACATGGTATCGGAGCTAGGCCATTGATGTTGGGACCGCGCCCGCAGTAATCTGCGCCTCGTGTGAGGGGGGCGTGTTGACTTGTTCATCCCACATCGGCTATGCAGCCTTATATTGTGCTGCTATTTAATAGTTTGGGTACCTCAACCTCTTGAGTTAACTTTTGAGGTTGAATTGAGCCCAAGTCTATTGTTTCAACAGATAATGTCGATTTTCTTGTTTGGTAATTCAACGATGTTTTACAAAGAATTGTCGCTTAACAAACGATTTCGATTCACATTAAGTAATCGCATAATGTGTCCTAATGAGTCAAACAATAGTATCAGATATTTTATTGATTCTAAACATTCGTGTTTGAATCAGCGATTAGATCGTCTTGAGTTCGCATGAGAATCTTTGGCATCAGCTTCACATATGTTTCTCAACATTTATTGTTTCTTCATAGTCGTCTCACTTTCGTACAATTTTGCGATGCAGATCAGTTTCGTCATTTGCGATGTGAAGGGTATGTTGATAACGTATCAGGAGATTATAAATATTTTGTTTATTCTTTTGTCTCTTCACTGAGTACCGAAGTTCAACTAGAGTCTACGCTCGATACGGTTTCAGTACTAATCAATTGTTATTTAATGAGAATTCTAACAGAGTCATTATTTATCAAGTAAATTCTCATACCTTTTTCCTGGAGCAGAGGAATGCGAGAGTCGTGGATGTGATTGACATATTTTTTTATAGAGCCGATATATATATATATATATATATATATATATATATATATATATATATATATATATATATATATATATATATATATATATAAAATACATTTTTTTAAATCCAAGTTTTGATCCGAAGATTGGGTTTAAAACCATTTGCTCCGATACCAAACTGTAACACCCTAATCCGTCCAGGTCTGCAGCCCCTTTCGGACTAAAGTATTAACTTGGTAATCGTAAAATTTAAAACATTTCAAACAATTTTATTTATCACAATAATAATTTTTCATATCATAGACAGTACGGAGTATTCAACAATATTGCGGAAGCTTAACAAATCATAATCACAAACATAATTCAAAACCATCACATCCATTCCGACAATCTCGCCTCCGTCTGCCTCCAGGATTACGTCACATCATTCTTTCTATTAACCTGCGTGTAGCAAATAAAACATACTACACGCTCAGCGGTAAAGCTGAGTAAGCATATCTAATGCGTCAAACATCCATATAAACTGAATCTAAATTTATAATCAAATTATTTGATATCATGCACACAATGTTCAGTTCAGATATTAAATAATCATTAGTCAATATTCATTATTCAACATTCATATCCATATTCGACGTTCATCGGTTATTCATAATATTCACAATATTCAATTCAATAATCATCATTCAATATTCATTCATATTCAATATTCAACATTTGACATTATCCTTAAACTATTCTTAGTCTAAGGCCAATCACTTTAATATTTGTCAATCCTTAAATGAATTCTAGTTTAAATAATTAAACTATATTCCAGTATACAGAGTACTCTTAATAATCCTTAAGCTAGGCCTAGTTTAAGATAAAAGGGTTTTGAAAATCTTAAATTTACCTTCACTTAAGGCCAACCAGAAACCGACAGCGTAGTGTTCACTGTTTGGTGGGTGGTACCCCCAAACGAGTAGGTACTCAAGTTTGGTTCTTGGATCCCGTACGTATGTTTTAACCCTAGCCACCGGGGTTCATACCCGCAAGGCCTAACTTAAATAGGTACATCTTAGAGGTCTTCTAGATACCTTTCAATTCGACATTAATGTGAATATATCTTAGAGATCTTCTAGATACCCTTAACAATATATTATTTTCACAATCATCAATATATTCATTATGATTTAATCATTCACAATTATCATTTTTAATCAGAATATTTATTAAGATTTAATCATCAATCAATAATCATTACCATGATCATCAATCAACATAATATTCAATAACAATTAGCGGCCTAGCTTCGGATGTTAACACCCTAACTTACCGTCATGCATCACATAACATTTTATTTGTTAAAAATATTATTTTTAATGTGAAAAATCATTTTTATAATGATCATAATCAATTGGTATCTAAAATAGGATTTTAGAGCTCAAAAATAACATTTTCAGACAAATTTTCGGATCAGAAATTCGGGGGATCGATCCAGCCCTCTGGATCGATCCATATGTAGAGGAATTATGCCCAGGTGATCGATCCACCCATTTGGATCGATCCAGACAGCCTGGTTTTTGGTTACTGTTCATCTTCTTCTTCGTTCGGGTCCAATTTCGAAAATACCATTTTTAGTTACCGAACTTCAACAAAACTATATAGAGATGTTCTCCAAGGTTCATAGATCATTTTGGCATCATTAATTCATAGTTTTAACATCAATTTAATGGTTTATGATTCTTGGTTCTTCAAACATGTCAAACACAAAACTCAACCAAATGAGCGTTTATGAACGTAGAAACGATCTATACGAACATTCTAATCATTAGATAT